AAATAAATAACTGTTAAGCGTGTATTGGCTTCCTTAATGTATCTTTACTTCCGCTAATTTGTTGCGTAAACTGTAATGCAATAATTGTAAGGAAAAGTAAAAATTGACGTTTTATAGGTGACATAATTTTATCGATGATGATTCGTTTGTTTGCGATCCTTCTGGTGCTAAGTTGCCGAAGTGCTTTGGTGAACAGTGCAGACGACATTATTCCATCAGAAGATTTAAAAGAACTGAAGGAACTAACGTCAAAAATTGGTGACAAAATTGTCAATTTAACGAAACAACAAATAACCGATCTTGGGACAGTGATGAAACAACAGGAATCAGTTTTGGAATGTAAAGGGAAACAGTAAGTTTGCTTTGCTACTTCAATCCAAACGATTTATATGACTCAATAAACTGGTTTTTTGCTTATTTTATTCTCAAGTTCTGAAAGATTTCCAACAAAAATGAAAACGAAAAAAAAGTTTTTCGAAATTTTACTCAATTCCACATCAAATGATGGTAACCTGAAAATTGTTTCAGTTTTGTTTTCAGCAGTTCTCTCAATTTTTTCTTCTCATGTCAAACAAAGATAGTTTTTGAGATAAATAATAAAGAAAATTTGTTGAAGTAATAAGTTTTTTAATCATTTTAAAATCAAAGAATATAGTATCAGAAGCTTTTTGGATTTTTCACCGCAAATGTCGGCTTTTCAAGTCTCCTTTTTTTTTTAAAGATTTAGGTGACGTTCAATTCTCAGAATATTTAATAGGAATTATACCAGTGTACACTATCAATAAATTAATATTTGTCCAAAAAAAAATTTTTTTTATTATATTAAGACGTTGTTAAAAAAACTTTGGAAAGGAAAGAAGAGGAGATGAGATCTTTAGGGATAAAGCTTATTATAGCATTGTTAGAATACGAAATATGGTTTCATTAATTTGTTGAACGAAAATTTGTTATAGAGGATTAGAATTTGGAACTGTGTTGCATAGGAAAAATGATCATAAACCGGATTCTTAGTTTTAACTAAACTGCTTATTGATAAGCAGGTATCTTATTTTTACTGAGAATTAACTAGCCAAATAGATTGGATCTAAATTTGGCATTTCCGGAGCTTAAGTTCTGACTTACTGACAAATTGTAAAAGAAAAAAAAATGATGTGAGAAATAAATTGATTTTTTACGCAATTAGGTGCCACTTTGTAATCACACCTCTCTCCCGAGGGCAAAGTACTGTATCATTTTAACAGACAGTAGTTTACGCTACGGGATCGCTGTCACTGATAACAGCTTAGTTGCCGCCGGTTCGTAATGGTGATTACAGCGTTTCACGCAAGTTTTTCGACAACCTTTTTTTTAAAACCTGAGAGTTTTTTGCGCATCAGAGCAATATTTGGAAGCCAAAAATATTACTGTACGAAGAATAAATTTGAACTGTTGTTAATGAAGTCAATGAAGCTGTTGTTACAGTTGTTACCGTGCTATCAACAATATCTTCAGCAAACATGAATCATATTTGAGTTTACAAATTATGGGTATTATTGTAATGATTTGTAAGCTCCAAGTCACTTTACAATAATGCCTCATAATTTTTTTTTTTAAAATTACTTTTAATGTACTAAAACTGTACTTCTAATTACTCTTAAGAAAAAAGACTAATTAAACATTCAATATTCGTTTTTTTTTCTTGATCTTTTTCTGGCTACAATTGATAGCTCTTTTAGTGACTGTAAAATTAGGACAATATAAAACTACTTTTTTTCTTTGAAAAAAAAGAACGGCGAATAATTAAAAGTGAACTGTTTAAGCATTTGAAATAATAATTTAATTGGAAAATTTGTATTTTATTCAAATTATTGTATTTTGTTAAAATGATTCACTTACTGATTAATAAAGAAAGATTCTGGTGTAAAACATTAATTAAAAACTTATTGCTTAATAATTCAAAGCTTGTTTTTTTTTTTTTCAGGTGTCCAAACAATAATATATTCATATTTTATCAATGCTGTTCAGAGGATTCCAGTGACTGTTGTTGGCATCTACGATATTGGCTCACGTAGGTTTTTTTCTTTGTTGTTGTTGTTGTTCAGTTCCAACTAAGCTATTCTTCGTAAAAAGATGATATTTGCGCAATTTCGATAAAATACCATTTATTTAAGGGGTCTTCTAAGATCAAGCTAAAAGTGAGCAATTTTTTTTTCTGCAGTGTTATTGTCTGTCTCATCAGAATTTCAATGAAAACTATCGAAAAAAAAAATATTCCATTGTTGTTAGCTTAAATTTGATGAAACTTTTTTTTTTTTTTTTTTTTTTTTTTT